AGCATCTCTCCCTCAGTTCCTGCTCAACTACTGCCTGCAACGCAGCATCTGTTTTGTGGTACTCTCAAAACTTTAGTGTTTGTGTGAAAATGGCCCTCAAAAGACTGCTTAGTGGTCAGAGCTAGTGATGCTAGGAGTCAATGACCCTGACAAAGAAAAGTTGATTTATTAGAAGTTAAAGGATGGAATGAATGTAAGGGCGGCAACTAGCAGGATGGTTGTCCGCCGCTTGTTTGTTCGCTGCCCCCCACTAGGGGGTAGACGGAGATGAGAATGTCGCTGCTTCCTCATCACCACCAGACACTACCCAGCCGGGCCAACACAGCTGTACTTGCAATTCTGCTGTTCGCTCAAATTTGGTTGTGAGCCTCATCTGAGGTTGTGGACTGGGGCTGATTCCCAGACCTTCACTATACAGCTGTCAACTCTTGACACCTACCCCGCCACTTCCAACAGAGCTGCCACGCCATTGCTACTTCTCCACGCCTCTATCCACCGTCCTGTCCTGGCGCTCTCTCCTGTGTGACAAGACCATCGCTCCACCAACGCCATGAGAAGCTCCTGACCTCCGCCCTGAGAGCTGATCACCGCTTTACCAGAAATCCCAACGAGCCGCCACCGTGAGAAATATTCTGTTCATTATTTGGATTCTCGTAATTGTTTGACTCTTTAATTGCTGACTCCGTAATTGCAGCTACAACATATGAAGATGTTTGGACCAGACCATCTGTACAAAGTTGGAGACGACAGCACTTCCACCCTACGGAGAGTTCCTGATATCAACACCGACGATCCGCCTTAAAGATTAATTATACAAAGTATTTATCTCAACACACTGCCAAAGTGAGAGCTTCTGAACACATACACACACTCTACAAACTGATGATAATATCACACAGACCGCCTCCACACTGACGGATCTCTTAACACCGCCTGTGGAGGGCTGAAGTGCTATTGTGTGACTCAACCTGACGGTAATATAATTGAGAAATGAGTTAGACCATCAACCGCATCCACTTACAAACTGATTAGTTGATACCACAGCTATTAAACTATTGAAACCACTGTCACCGACAGTCTCATCACTGACTCTCTATCCTCACTACTTGCCCCTGATGCCCTCTAACGTTGTCACGCTTGTTCTCTCTGAAGCCAGACACAAATATGCATTCTGCTGACCAGGATGTCAAGATCAAACTGTTGTGATCCCTCTCACATAGGACTCAAAGAACATGACAGAGTTGATGCCCTCGCCAAACTCGAGTCTACAGTAACAAGACATTGTTGTCATACAATATGGGTCTGTCAAAAGAAACCCTTAAAACTGTAATTAGGAAAGAACTTATTGATGAATTTGACAAAAGTAGATAAATGCAAACAGGCACGAGTTAATCTATTGTTTACCATGATGAGATGTATTATGAACTGTATTTGGAGCAAGTAACAAGATCACTAGATTCCAAGATGTTGTAACTGCTAGACTAAGGTTAGGATATAAGTAATTCTGGCAGTATACCCTTCAAGCAGATGTAAACAAAAGTAAATGTAAAGTGTGTGGTCAGAAATAAAGCCACACATTTGAACACTACATCTCTTGTGAAGATAGAACCTTCTAGGGACAGGTCCAAGCACACTGTGTGTGAAATGGCACAACAATTTATCTCTAATGGCAAGATAGCTGACATATTAAGATGGTATATTTTTGTCTAAGAAGCATCAGCCTTGGCAACCAACACACAATGTACTTGAATACTTTAACAATGTGAATAACAAAGTGTGTGCCAGACATACTGCCTCACACCTGCACTCAGGCAGTTGGTGAGTAAGTTACCATATATACAGGACTAAACAAAGAATTTATTTGAAATGCTCTAACATTTCAAAGCCATAATATCCTGACCATGGGGGAAGTTATACTGACTTTGTAAACCCTATCTGTAATCTCTTTGAAGCATAAGCCAGGATGAGTATGGGGTGCACAATGAACTAGTCACTGTAAATTGCAGAATTAAAATTACATTAAAATTGCAACATTTCTTACCACTTTTTTCCATAAAAGAATTAAGTCCCCGTCATTATTATCGTGTTTTTGTGACTATGAGATGAGCAGTGTAATTTTGAAAATGTCTGGGGAGGCCAAGGCACCCAGGAAAACCGTGTCTCTGGAGGTAGAGCTTGACATTGTGAACCAGCAATAGATTCCAGAGGCTGTGTGGGAGACAGAGTGACGTCTCCACTCCTCCTTCAAGAGTCCCATTTGAAGGATATGACATTGACCGCATGTTTTTAATGATGGTGAGTGTTGCTTAATTATGTTGTAGTGATAGAAGCATCAGGATTATTTTCCAGTGATACATGTGAGTGTCTGACTGGCCAGGAACCTATCCCGTTGAACCAATGTTGTAAAGCTGACCTGATTTATATTTGAACAACAATTGGGTTATCAGGAACCTAACCCCAACACAAATAGAGGTTTACCTGTAATTGTGTACAGTACTGA